ATCGTGTCAGGTTTCGGTGTATCGTCGGGGGCCTCAAACATGCGGGACAGCGCGTCCGGTTTTGTGTTCTTAGAGCCAGGTCGATACGTGATGTGGAAGGTAAACCGGGAAAAGAAAAGAGCCCATCTCGCCTGGCGTGGCTTCAGTCGTCTGGCCGTCCTCAAGTATTCCAAGTTTTTGTGATCGGTATATATCAGGATGGGGTGTGTAGCTCCTTCCAGCAGGTACCGCCATTCTTCCAGGGCGGTCTTTATGGCCAGGAGCTCCCGATCTCCGATATCGTAGTTCCGCTCTGCAGGTGTCAATTTCCTGGAGAAGAACGCTACAGGATGTAGTAGCTCCTTGGTGCCATTCCTTTGGGACAGGACCGCTCCCACCGCGTTTTCTGAGGCGTCCACTTCCAAAATGTATGGGAGAGAAGAATCGGGGTGGCTGAGAACTCCTGACTCAAGCTCCGACAAAGGGAAAATACGGCCCGAACGAAATTTCAGATCCGGGTAGGAGGTCTATGGGACAGTCATATGATCGGTGTGGGGGGAAGTGTGTCTGCCCCTCGCTTACTAAACACGTCTAGAAAGTCGTGATAGGCCGGGGGAATAACCTGGGACAGGTCTGTATCACCATCCATGCATAGGAGTAATTGGGGAGCCACGGACCCTGAGACGTGGCAACGTTTCAGACAATATGAGGACCGAAACTGAACAGTTCCCTTCTCCCAATCAATCTGGGGATTATGGGCCCGCAGCCAAGGAAGCCCCAGAATGACCGGGAAAAGGGGGGGACGCGATGGCGTCCAGACGGAGGAATTCTTGGTGATGGTCAGCCATCGAGGTGAAAATAGGGGGTGTCTCCTGATCCACCACTCCCGATTTTAAGCTAGACCCATCTGCCAGGAAGATGTTCAGCCCTCTTTCCTTGGTCTGGAGAGGGATCCCTTGCTGGTGAGCAAACGTGAGATCGACAAAGCAGCTACATGCCCCCGAATCAATGATAGCTGTCACCGTCAAAGTTCCTCAGGGGAGCTGTAAAGACACAGGTATTGCCAGATAACTTGACTGATCACCCCTTTCTGCAGATAAAGGAAAAAAAAAAACTGGAAGTGGACTTACACTTTTTTGCAGGACAGGAGCGCACCCGGTGGCCATCTTCTCCGCAGTACAGACAGAGGTTCTGTGATCGTCTTCTCTGGCGTTCTTCGGCCGATAACGTGGACCGGGCCAGTCCCAGTTGCATGGGTTCCGAGGTGTCTCCAGGTTCCGAGCTCCGGGTAGTGCTTCCTGGGAGTGGGAGTAATCCCCTCGATGGAATCCAAGCCGCCCTTTGACCCTGGCTGCTCCGTTCAAGCCTGCGTTCTCTCAGTCTGCGGTCAATTTGTATGGCTAGCTCGATTAGCTTCTCTAGGGAGTCAGGTAGGCCTACCCGTGCTAACTCGTCTTTGAGTGACTCAGATAGCCCGATGCGAAATTGGTGACATAATGCCGCATCGTTCCATCGGGTGTCCCCCATCCAGCGCCTGAATTCAGACGCGTACTCCTCGGCTGCCTGGCGACCCTGCCGCAGACAGTACAGGGTAGTTTCTGCGGAAGCGGTTCGCTGAGGGTCGTCATATAGAATAGCCATGGCTCTAAAAAATTCAGTCACGGAATCAAGATGGGGGTCGCGATTTTCCATGAGACGATGAGCCCAATCCTGGGGCTCATCCTGAAGGAGAGAGACTATAAATCCCACCTTGACGGTCTCGGTGGTGAACGGGGCTGCGGGGCTGTAAGTCGAAAAACAAAATGCACGCATTCCGGAAGGCCCTGAAGCAGCTTCGGTCTCCACGGAAGCGTTCTGGTAGGGGAACGCGGGGTTCGGGAGTAGGGGGTGCGGCCCCTGCTCCGGGAGCTGGGGTAGCAGGTGATTCCCCAGAAGATGCCGCAGGACTCGGGCTCTGTGCTGGGGATGTAAGGGTGACTAACGTCTCCATGCGGTCCTCAAGATGGGTGCAACGAGTATGAAACGTCTGGACTGCTTGGGTTAGCGTTGCCAGATGCTGGCAGATATCCTCCAAGGAGGCCGGACCTCTTCCTGACTCTGTCATGGCCGCAAGATACTGTTACGGATCCGCCAGGTGGTGCCTCTGGCAGCCCACTAGACGGAATCACCCGGAGCGTGGAGTCTAAGTCCTGGTCTGCGTTTTCACCAGGGCCCCTGATGGTGGGGATGGACTTGGAGCAGAACCAGGACCAGGTCACGACCTCCGAGCAATACCACCAGTGGCAGAGGGAAGCTCCGGGGATGAGTGTAAACCAGAAGAGAGCCAGATGTGAGGAGGCCGGCAGGACCAGGCAGGATAAACAGGCGGCTGTCACCGTGGGGGATGGCGAGGTACCCGAGACGGCAGGGAGAGAGAGGTCAGGTCACGCAGGGTCAGTATCGTAGTCAGTCTGCAGAATGGTCAAACAAGCCGGGGTCGGGATAGGAGAAGGCAGCGTAGTCAGACAATCCGGGTCAGAGCTGGAGCAGGCAGAGAGGTCAAACAATCCAGGTCAATAATCACAGGGCACAGGAAACTCAAGTAACAGGTCAGACCTTGCGGCAACTTGTGACAGTGCAGGGCATCTTTAAATATCGCGCCCTGCACTTTCATTGGCCACCCAGGACGCGCCCCCGGGCTGTCATTGGCCGCCCAAGGCACGCCCGCGGCTCCTACTGCTCATGCGTGGAATCCTGTCAGCCGCGGCCCCACCGGGACCTAGTGCTTGTGTCCCGGCGTGAGCCGCCGCTAGTGCGCGTGTGCCGGGGAAGGCGCCCCGGCGGTCCTTGACAATGTATATTACAGAGCGGACACCTCAGGGATTATAATATTGTTTTTAAAGAAGAGTATAAAAAGGAGGAGTATTGTGTGCTAGGAGAAGTTTCAGAAGGACACAAGGACATGATGGAGCCAACTAATTCCAGGAACCCACCAGAGATGTCCCCATCCTCTGTATTCCCGGGATTCCACACAGGAAGGTTACACCATCCCTCACCATCATCAGGTAGATGATGGACAATTATTGATAGTTCTGATTTATACACAGCATGTTTGTTACAATGAATGTTTACAGTTGCTAGAAAAAGTATGTGAACCCCTTGGGATTACGTGGAGTTTTGCATGAATTGGGCATAAAATGTGCTCTGAACGTCATCTAAGTCACAACAATAGAAGAAACACAGTCTGCTGAACATAATACTACACAAACATTAGATGTTGCCATGGTTTCATTGCACATAACATGTAAACATTCACAGTGCACGGAGGAAAAAGTATGTGAACCTTTGGACTTAATACCTGGTTGACCCTCCTTTGGCAGCAATAACCTCAACCAAACATTTCCTGTAGTTGCAGATCAGACCTGCACAATGATCTGGAGTCATTTTGGACCACTCCTCTTCACAAAACTGTTTCAGTGTAGCAATATTCTTGGGATGTCTGGTGTGAATCGCTCTCTTAAGGTCATGCCACAGCATTTCAATCGGGTTGAGGTCAGGACTCTGAATGGGCCACTCCAGAAGGCGTATTCTGTGCTGTTGCAGCCATTGTTTTGTTGAATTACTTGTATGCTTTGGGTCATTGTCCTGTTGCATCACCCATCCTCTGCGGACCTTCAGTTGGCAGACAGATGGTCGTACGTTTTCCTGCAAAATGTCTTGATAAACTCTGGAATTCATTTTCCCATCAATGACAACAATCCTTCCAGGCCCTGAGGCAGCAAAGCAGCCCCAAACCATGATGCTCCCTCCGCCATGTTTTACAGTGGGGATGAGGTTTTGATGTTGGTGTGCTGGGCCTTTTTTTCTCCACACATAGTGTTGTGTGTTCTTCCCAAACAACTCAATCTTGGTTTCATCTGTCCACAGTACATTTTGCCAGTAGTGCTGTGGAACATCCAGGTGCTCTTTTGCAAACTTCAAACGTGCTGCAATATTCTTTTTGGACAGCAATGGCTTCCTCCGTGGTGTCATCCCATGTACTCCATTCTTGTTTAATGTTTTCCTTATTGTAGATGTGTCAACAAAAATGTTAGCATGTGCCAGAGATTTCTGTAGGTCTTTAGCTGACACTCTGGGATTCTTCTTTACCTCATGCAGCATTCTGCGCTGTGCTCTTGCAGTCATTTTTACAGGACGACCACGCCTAGGGAGAGTAGCAACAGTGCTAAACTTTCTCCATTTGTAGACAGTCTGTCTTACCGTGGACACATGAACATCAAGGCTTTTGGAGATACTTTTGTAACCCTTTCCAGCTTCATGCAAGTCAACAATTCTTGATCGTAGGTCTTCTGAGAGCTCTTTTCTGCGAGGCATGGTTCACATCAGACAGTGCTTCTTGAAACGAGTAAACCCAAAACAGGTGTGTGTTTTTTAAGGGCAGGACAGCTGTCAGCAACACATCCAATATCATCACACTGATTGGAGTCAAGGTTGGCTCACTCCTGGCTCCAATTAGCTCTGGGAGAAGTCATTAAGCTAGGGCCTCACATACTTTTTCCTCCCTGCACTGTGAATGTTTACATGTTATGTGCAATTAAACCATGGCAACATCTAATGTTTGTGTAGTATTATGTTCAGCAGACTGTGTTTTTCTATTGTTGTGACTTAGATGACGTTCAAAGCACATTTTATGCCCAATTCATGCAAAACTCCACGGAATCCCAAGGGGTTCACATACTTTTTCTTGCAACTGTATTATATATTCAGAGTGGAATCCTCAGGGATGATAATATTGATGTTAAAGAGGAGTATGGAGTGATGGAGGAGTGTTTAGTAGAACACAAGGATATGATGGAGCCACCTAATACCAGGAACCCACCAGAGAGATGTCCCCGTCCTCTGTATTCCCGGGATTCAACACAGGAAGGTCACACCATCCCTCACCATCATCAGGTAGATGAGGAACAATCACTGATATTATCATTAGGATCTGTACATTATCTGCATTGTTACCATTGATGTCATTTTTATTATATATTCAGAGTGGAAACCTGAGAGATCCTAAAGTTGATGTTAAAGAAGAGATAAAAGAGGAGGATGATGAGGATGGGGTGATGAAGAAATCAGAGCTTCTGAAAGGACACACAGATCTGTACCAGGACACCATGGTGGAATCATCCAGCTACAGGAACCCACCAGAGAGATGTCCCCATCCTCTGTACTCCCCGGACTCCACACAGGAAGGTCACACCATCCCTCACCATCATCAGGTAGATGGATCCAGTCATGGGAACCCATCAGAGAGATGTCCCCGTCCTCTGTATTCCCGGGATTCCACACAGGAAGGTCACACCATCCCTCACCATCATCAGGTAGATGATGACAATTATTGGTAGTTGTGATTTATACACAGCATGTTTGTTACAATGAATGTTTTATTATATCTTTCAGAGTGGAATCCTCGGGGATGATAATATTGATGTTAAAGAAGAGTATAAAGAGGAGGATGAGGAGTATGGAGTGATGGAGGAGTTTTCAGAAGGACAGAAGGATATGATGGAGCCACCTAATACCAGGAACCCACCAGAGAGATGTCCCCGTCCTCTGTATTCCCGGGATTCCACACAGGAAGGTCACACCATCCCTCACCATTACAAGGTTGGTGGGATGGAGAATCTAGAACATGGACTTGTAGAGACAAAGTGTGGATTTTTTATGTGATGTCACAATCATAAATATTACATTTTACAGATGATATTTTCTGTCATTTTCTTGATTTAGAGTGGAGATCCAATCGATATAGAATTTGAGGTTAAATCAGAAGAAGAAGAGGCGTATGTGAGGGATGATCAGCAGTCTATGGAGGAGGATGGAATAACGGGGACATTTATAGAGGAGGACACTCCTACAGAGATCAGCACAGGTGGGTCATGAACACTAAATCCATTCCTCCACCCATACTGCTTACTGATTGGTCCAGAGTAGGGCGGGGACTGGGTGATATCAGCCTGTAATCCCCTGGTCACTTTCCTGAGCTGTGTTCCCCGTCCTGTATTCCTGGATTTCTCTCGGATTACATGGAATACTCCTGACTCCTGCACCATATACTCTCTGTGCATTAAAATGTCCTGATACTATACAGTCTGTTGTATCTTATACAATATGTTGTACAGTTGTGTTCAAAATAATAGCAGTGTGTTGAAAAAAGTGAATAAAGCTGAAAATCCTTCTAATCCTTTTATTTCCATCCACACAAATGCATTGGGAACACGACACATTCTATTCCAAATCAAAACATGAAGAAAAATACATCAAATTTGTGTTGTTCCTCTAAAAAAAATTGAAGAAAAGTGAATATTAGACGGTTCAAAAAAATCGCAGTGTTTGTATTCTTCTTTACAAACTCAAACATTCACTATATAAACTGAGAAATGTTTGAAGATTTTGCTTTCCTTTGAATGACTTCATGAATATTTGGTTGTAGTCGCACTGTTTCTGAGAACTGCTGTACATCTGTGTTGCATGGAGTCACCCAACTTCTGGCCCCTGTGATCAGGTATTCCAGCCCAGGATGATTGGACTACATTCCACAGTTCTTCTCTATTTCTTGGTTTTTCCTCAGAAACTGCATTTTTGATGTCACCCCACAAGTTTTCTATTGGATTAAGATCCGGGGATTGGGCTGGCCACTCCATAATGTCCATCTTGTTGGTCTGGAACCAAGATGTTGCACGTTTACTGGTGTGTTTGGGGTCGTTGTCTTGTTGGAACACCCATTTCAAGGGCATTTCCTCTTCAGCATAAGGCAGCATGACCTCTTCAAGTATTCTGATGTATTCAAACTGATCCATGATCCCTGGTATGCGATAAATAGGCCCAACACTGTAGTATGAGAAACATCCCCATATCATGATGCTTGCACCACCATGCTTCACTGTCTTCACAGTGTACTGTGGCTTGAATTCAGTGTTTGGGGGTCGTCTGACAAACTGTCTCCGCCCACTAGACCCAAAAAGAACAATCTTACTTTCATCAGTCCACAAAATGTTGCGCCATTTCTCTTTAGGCCGGTCAATGTGCTCTTTGGCAGATTGTAACCTCTTCAGCACATGTCTTTTCTCCAACAGTGGGACTTTGCGGGGGCTTCTTGCAGATAGCTTGGCTTCACATAGGCGTCTTCTAATTGTAACAGTCCTCACAGGGAACGTCACACCTTCTTTCATCTTCCTGGAGCTGATTGTTGGCTGAGTCCGCGCCATTTTGGCTATTCTTCTATCCATTCCAATGGTAGTTTTTTGCTTTCTTCCACGTCTTTCAGGTTTTGGTTGCCATTTTATAGCATTTGCGATCATTTTAGCTGAGCAGCCGATCATTTTCTGCACTTCTTTATATGTTTTCCCCTCTCCAATCAACTTTTTAATCAAGGTACGCTGTTCTTCTGAACAATGTCTGGAACGACCCATTTTCCTCAGAATTTCAGAGAGAAATGCACTGTAACCAGCATGTACAACATTTGCTGCCTTCCTTCCTTAAATAAGGGCAATAATTGCCACCTGTTTATCAAAGAATGAATGACGTCACTAATAGAACTCCACACTGCTATTATTTTGAACACGCCCCTTTCAATGAGTGATTCAATGACACAGAATCAGCAGCATGCATGTCATGACTGTTGGGTCTGTTGGATTTCTATTACTCTACTACACCTGCTAGGAAATTATTTGCCATGTAGAAATATAATTTCCACCAAAAACAGTGATTGATCCGGTTAGTGATGTCTGACTGACTGATATTTTGAACACAACTGTACATTCCATAGTCCTGTCTTCTGCTCTCCACCCTCTGCTATATATAAACTTGACTCCATGTATTGGGAAGGTGGCAATGAGTGTTGGGGGGCTGTATTTTTACACCATTGTAAGCTCCTCAGAGCCCAAGCTGCCTGATGTGGGCGGAGTCCTGGTTTGGGGGAACCAATCAGCTCCTGTCTAGTAATCCTCTTTGTCTTTGTATTTTAGTCCATGGCCGGGAGATGAGGAAAACCTCCGAGGATTGTCTCACTTTGTCTCCAGACTGGAAAGTAGAAGATGAGGACATCACACAGTATAGTCCAGGAGAAAACCCGGCTCCCTCCAATGTCCATCCGGCACCACCCAGTGTAGATGGACCATCGGATTCCTCGTATCCTGAGGAACCTCAGACTGTGCGGGACCGGGCCGGCCTTCCAACAGAGAAGAAGTTCTCCTGTACTCAGTGTGGGAAAGGTTTCCATTTTAAATTCAATCTTGATGAGCATAAAAGATCTCACACAGATGAGAATCTATATTCCTGCCCTGAGTGCGGGAAATGTTTTTTAAAGAAGTCCTATCTTTTCAGACATCACAGATATCACACAGGTGAGAAGTCATGTCCTGAGGCCAGAAAATGCTTTGTCGAGAAATCAGAACTTGTCACAAACCAGAGCTCTCACATGAGGGAGAAACCGTATTCCTGTTCTGAGTGCGGGAAAAGTTTTTTACTTAAGCCACATCTTTACAGACATCTAAGATTGCACAAAGGTTTGAAGCCGTATTCCTGTTCTGAGTGCGGGAAATGTTTTTCACAAAAAGCCATTCTCTACAAACATCAGAGATTGCACATAGTGGAGAAGAAGCCGCATATCTGTCCTGAGTGTGGGAAATGTGTTGCTAAAAAATCAGAACTTGTCATACATCTGACGTCTCACGCGGTGGAAAAGCCATTCTCTTGTCATTATTGCGGGAAATGTTTTTTAAGGATGTATAATCTTACCATACATCAGAGAACTCACACAGGTGAGAAGCCGTATCCCTGCCTGGAGTGCGGGAAATGTTTTTTATACAGAAGTCCGATCTTTACCGACATCAGAAAACTCACACAAGGAAGAAGCCACTCACCTGTCCTGAGTGAGGGAAATGTTCCTCAATGAAGTCCTGTCTTCCTGTACATCAGGGGTCCCACACAACCTGGAGGTGTATTAGTGCCTTGCGTGCGGGAAATGTCTTCTAGATGAATGTTGCTGGACATCCCAGCTCTCATGTGGGGAAGAGGCACACCCTGATATACACCTCAGATATACTCGATGGCTGATCTTGGAAGAAACAGTCCATAAGGAGATCAGAGGTCACCAAAGACATGGATGAAGTGTGGGACCGGGTTGGTCATTGATAGCAGGAGAAGAATAAAAATGGAGTCCTGACCTTTCATTGGCTGAGTACATTTTGTGGTGGAACCATTAGAGGCCTAATTTTAAAAATGTATCGGATAAATTAAACAAGCTTTCATTTAGCAATAATGAATATTGAACATGTTTTATTTAAAGTGTTATTAAACCCACAACAGTACAATCAGTCTGTAGATGCAGTAAAGCATGCTTGTTATACTTACTGTGGGACCTAAGGGGTTAATTCTCTGCATTGTGTAAAAAGGCTGTTTGATCCTGTCGTCTCTGCTCCTCCTTGTTCAAATGACCACCTGATACAGACTGAATTCATAGACCCATGTACATGCTCAGTTTGGTGTGTATTGCTAAAGAGGGTTTTTTTTAAAATTTTCTTGGGAGAGTGCAGGGTCTGGGGAGAGCGGATATAGTGAATGCGGGGTCCGAGGAGAGCGGGTATAGTGAATGCGGGGTCCAGGGAGAGTAGATATAGTGAATGCGGGGTCCGGGGAGAGCAGATATAGTGAATGCAGGGTCTAGGGAGAGCGGTTATAGTGAATGCAGGGTGCGGTGAGACCAGATATTGTGAATGCGGGGTCTGTGGAGAGCGGATATAGTGAATGTGGGGTCCGGGGAGAGCGGATATAGTGAATGCGGGGTCCGGGGAGAGCAGATATAGGGAATGCGGGGTCCGGGGAGAGCGGATATAGGGAATGCGGGGTCCGGGGAGAGCGGATATAGTGAATAGAGGATCCGGGGAGAGCGGATAAAGTGAATGCGGGGTCCGGGGAGAGCGGATAAAGTGAATGCGGGGTCCGGGGAGAGCGGATAAAGTGAATGCGGGGTCCGGGGAGAGCGGATAAAGTGAATGCAGGGTCCGGGGAGAGCGGATATAGTGAATGCCGGGTCCGGGAAGAGCGGATATAGTGAATGCCGGGTCCGGGGAGAGCGGATAAAGTGAATGCAGGGTCCGGGGAGAGCGGATATAATGAATTCAGGGTCCGGGGAGAGAGCGGATATAGTGAATGCAGGGTCCGGGGAGAGCAGATTTAGTAAATAGAGGATCCGGGGAGAGCGGATATAGTGAATGCGGGGTCCGGGGAGAGCGGATATAGTGAATGTGGGGTCCGGGGAGAGCGGATATAGTAAATAGAGGATCCCGGGAGAGCAGATATAGTGAATAGAGGATCCGGAGAGAGCGGATATAGTGAATGCGGGGTCCTAGGTTTAGTAATACTTTAACACAGTGATTTCCTACAGTCATCAGCTCCATCTAGCGGTCACAGTGTGTTATTTGTTTTTTCTCTATTTTCTGGTTGAGGTATTTCAGTAAAAATTATGGCCACTAGATAGACCCTCCATCAAGCAATTGCCTTCCAGAGGATCCCCCTTCCTGACCAGGTCATTTTTTGCTTTACAGCGCTGCGTTACTTTAACTGACAATTGCGCGGTCATGCAACACTGCACCCAAATTATATTTACGTCCTTTTTTCCCACTGATTGAGCTTTCTTTCAGTGGTATTTGATCACCTGTGCATTTTTTATTTTTTGCGCTATAAAAAAAAACTGACAATTTTGAGAAAAAAAAAAATATATTTTGGACTTTTTGCTATTAAACATGTCCAGTAAAAAAATTTAAAAAATCAAATTTTGTCATAAATTTCGGCCAAAATGTATTCTGATCCGTGTCTTTGCTAGAAAAAATCCTAATACGTGTAAATTACTTGGTTTACGTGAAAGTTATAGCGTTTACAAATGGTGGTATAGATACTGTTTTTTTTTTTTTTAATTATTTTTACTAGTAATGGCGGCAATCAGCGACTTATAGCAGGCATACTGACACAGGGGAGGAACTGACTTGGTGTCACTGACATCCCCAGTGGCACCAATAAAAAAAAAACACTGACACTGTACTAATGTCACTGGGCAGGAAGGGGTTAACATGAATGATCAAAGGGGTAACTGTGTGCTGGGTGTGTTTTACTATGGGGCGGTGTTTGTTGTGCTTCACTGTAATCACACTGCTCTGGATGCAGAGCAGTGTGCCGGAGCCGACAGGGAGGAGAACTGTTAGTAAACAACAGTTCTCCCCGTTGGAGATCTTCGGAAATCACTGGGCGCCGGCGAGTAATTACCGGCCGGGAACCAGTAATTGACAGCTGAGAATGGCGGCAGGGTAGGGTCCCCTACCCCGAAATGCAAAATCACATATATATATACATATATATATATGTATATATAGTTGATTCCGCGCAGCCGTGCCACCCTGTAGCAGTATTTGCCATCCAATCTGATATGTCTGTTAGTACATCGGTGATACGTGAGGAAACTGATGGGGTGAGCTGAGGAGTAGAGAGATAGATTTGTATGTCATCAGCATAGAAATGGTATTGGAAACCATAGGAAGCTATCAGCTGACCCAAGGAAGAAGTGTAGATTGAGAATAGGAGAGGGCCAAGCACAGAACCTTGGGGGACCCCGATGGAAAGAGGAGTAGGAGAAGAGGAAGTAGAGTTGTAAGTGACACTGAAGGTACGGTGAGATAGGTAAGATTTGAACCAACGGAGACTACAGTCATGGAGGCCACGTTTGAGGAGGAGGGGGTGGTCAACTGTGCCAAAGGCAGTGGAGAGGTCCAAGAGTACGAGTACGGAATAGTGACCATTGGTTTTAGCGGTTAGTAAGTTGTTTGTGAGTTTTAGGAGAGTAGTTCCTGTGGAGTGTTGTCGGAGAAATCCAGAATGAAGGGGATCGAGATGGTTATCCTCAATGAGGTGGCAGCTCCAGCCAGCTGTAGACTAGACATTCAAGGAGCTTGGAGGCAAAAGGGAATAAGGAGTTGGGTTAGTAAGTTGTTTGTGAGTTTTAGGAGAGCAGTTTCCTGTGGAATGTTGTGGGCAAAATCCAGACTGAAGGGGATCGAGATGGTTATCCTCAATGAGGTGGCAGCTCCAGCCAGCTGTAGACTAGACGTTCAAGGAGATGGAGGGTCTTAGGTTGCCAAGATTGGTGGGGTCCAGTGAGGCTTTTTTAAGTATGAGTGTTGGGGAAGATGCCAGTAGAAAGGGAGAGATTGAAGATATGAGTTAAAGAGTGAAGGATAGAGCCAGAGGGTGACCATAGTATTTGTGAGGGAACAGGGTGCAGGGGACAGGTGGTTAGGTGGGCTTTAAAAAACACTTTACCAACCTCCTCTATAGTAGCTGGGTTAAACAAGGGAAGTATAGATTGTGCAAGTGGACAAGGAGTGTAGGGTGAGGGAGATATCTGGCGGACAAGGAGTGTAGGGTGTGGGAGATTTCTGGTGGGCAAGGAGTGTAGGGTGAGGTAGATGTCTGGCGGACAAGGAGTGTAGGGTGAGGGAGATGTCTGGCGGGCAAGGAGTGTAGGGTGAGGGAGATGTCTGGCGGACAAGGAGTGTAGGGTGAGGGAGATGTCTGGCGGGCAAGGAGTGTAGGGTGAGGGAGATGTCTGGCGGACAAGGAGTGTAGGGTGAGAGAGATGTCTGGCGGACAAGGAGTGTAGGGTGAGGGAGATGTCTGGCGGGCAAGGAGTGTAGGGTGAGGGAGATGTCTGGAGGGCAAGGAGTGTAGGGTGAGGGAGATGTCTGGAGGGCAAGGAGTGTAGGGTGAGGGAGATGTCTGGAGGGCAAGGAGTGTAGGGTGAGGGAGATGTCTGGTGGGCAAGGAGTGTAGGGTGAGGGAGATGTCTGGCGGGCAAGGAGTGTAGGGTGAGGGAGATGTTTGGCGGGCAAGGAGTGTAGGGTGGAGGAGATATCTGGCGGGCAAGCAGTGTAGGGTGAGGGAGATGTCTGGCGGGCAAGGAGTGTAGGGTGAGGGAAATGTCTGGCAAACAAGGAGTGTAGGGTGAGGGAGATGTCTGGCGGGCAAGGAGTGTAGGGTGAGGGAGATGTCTGGCGGGCAAGGAGTGTAGGGTGAGGGAAATGTCTGTCGGGCAAGGAGTGTAGGGTGAGGGAGATGTCTGGCGGGCAAGGAATGTAGGGTGAGGGAGATGTCTGGAGGGCAAGGAGTGTAGGGTGAGGGAGATGTCTGGCGGGCAAGGAGTGTAGGGTGAGGGAGATGTCTGGCGGACAAGGAGTGTAGGGTGAGGGAGATGTCTGGCGGGCAAGGAGTGTAGGGTGAGGGAAATGTCTGTCGGGCAAGGAGTGTAGGGTGAGGGAAATGTCTGGCGGACAAGGAGTGTAGGGTGAGGGAAATGTCTGGCGGGCAAGGAGTGTAGGGTGAGGGAGATGTCTGGCGGGCAAGGAGTGTAGGGTGAGGGAGATGTCTGGCGGACAAGGAGTGTAGGGTGAGGGAGATGTCTGTACAGTGGAGATCTCGTCACGAATTGTATCAATATTATTTTTGTGATTAGCAATCTCCTGGGCATCTAGCTATCAAAATTATTATTATTATTCTACAGGATTTATTTAGTGCCAACAGTTTATGCAGCGCTGTGAAACATAAATACATTTTCCATTGACACTCAATGGAAATAGCCTAATAACATTTGTTTCCCCCCCCCCCCCCATTCACACAGAAGGAATGTACATGCAGTGTCACCGGGCGAAATGCTGTGAAAAATATTTATGAATAGACCCTTAAATGTCAGGTGACATTTATTTAACCTCTTCTGCGGCACCCTATAGCAGAAATACTGCTACAGGGGGCACAGGTGTGTGTATATATACGTGATTTTGCATTGCCAGGTAGGGGGCATGCGTGTGCACCACCTGTGCCACCATTCGCAGCCTCGGCTGTCAATCACTG